CTTTATGTTACAAAGTTCGCACTCGCCCCCGCCGCCTCCTCCCTGCGCGCAGCCCGGCTGGGCGCACACACCGCCCCGCCCCGTGCACCCGGGGTGGCGTGGGGTCCCCACCGCCTCCGGGGCCAGCAGCGCAGCTCGGCCGGGAGGGCTCTCTCTCTCCACCGGGTTACTTGGGGACCCGCCGGAGCTCGCTCATGAGCCAGAGTGCCACGCTGAGCAGTGCCAGGGAGCCCGACTGGTGCGTGGCAGCCAGAGGTGTGGGGACATACAGCAGCAGGGTGCTGATGCCCAGGCCCACCTGCCAAAAAGGGAGAAGGGGTAAGAGCAGATGTGGACACAGCGCTGGCACGCATCCCCGGCACAGAGTACGATGTAGGAAGGCCCACAGCCACAGCCAGACCTCCCACCCTCAAATTCAGACTATGCATGCAGTATAGTGAGGCCCTGGGTCCAGGCAGCTCCACTTCTCAGCGCCAGGCTCTCGGGGCCAGCGCAGATCCAAGGTGGGGACAGCTCCGTCTGACAAAGGACTGGGCGGGGGGGGAGGGAGGGGAAAGGGGGGAAAAGACAGTACCTGCATGCAAGCCACAGCCAGTAAGGAAGTCACTGCCATCCTGGTCCTGCGAGGGAGCGGGATCTTCCGCGCGAAGAGGTACAGTGCTGCGATAGCTGTGACTGAGGCGATCCCCTACAGAAGGGAAGGGAAACAGCCACCCTTCAAGAGAAGTTCAAAGGAAATGGGTGCAGTGGCCTTTGAATGCACCTTCCAAGCAGCAAAACTAAATTCTGTGAGCAATATTGAACTGTAGAAACGTGTTGACGGCCATGACTGAATCCCAGAGCTCCCACGCCCACCAGGTTAACCACCCTGAAATTTAACTGAAGTTATAAACAGTTCCATTTTTCTCCAAATTAATGCTTTACTTTCCAACATCTTTTCCTCCTTTCTTCAAGTCATTAGGGATTATTTCTGTCCTCTCCTCATCTGCCACCTTGACAACTAAAGGTGGAAGCCGTCATCTGGAAAAGGTAGAAGCTATCATCTGGAAAATTGACCTCATTTTCACCCCTCAGCTCACCAGCACAACCTTGCTGTTCAGGTCACCCACCCCAGGTGACTCCTCTTCCAAGTCACTTGACCTTTCTTTTTTGTTTTAGTGATGGCTTAGTCCACAGCAGTGCCAGCAGTAGTATTTAATATCTGGATGGCTCTAACTAGCTATTTTCACAGGGTGCTAACTGGTGTAAAGCAAGTTCAGAAATGCCAAAGGAAGCGTTTGATATCAGGATTTCCAAGTTTTATCTCATGCAGCTTTCCCAGACATGTCAGTAGCGAGGGCTACCCTGGTCTGTAGCTCACGCTACGGAAAAGGACACACAAAGAAACAAAGTCTGTAACTCATGCAGGAAGAAGATGTCCTTAAGGAAGGAGACCACACTGAAAATAAATAAAAGTGCTAAACTTCCTCTTTCTGCAGAAGCAAATTGGTAACATGCTCTCAGGACCTTCGGCCACCCTGGATATCACTCAGGCTGACAGAACCACAGCCCAAAGAGGACAGCTTGGCTGCAGGAGGCAACTGAGAAGCGTCACAGAGAGAGCAGGAAGACAGCACTTACCAAGATCCTGTGATCAAACTGTACAGTTGTAGGATTCTCAAAGATATTTCTCAGCATGGGGGAGAAGGCAAGGAGGTCATCTGGGATCCAACGCTCCCCCATTTTGGGGAAGGAATTGTACACAAGGCCAGCATCCAGCCCCGCCACAAAGGCACCTGCAATTCCAGAGCAGAAAATGAGACCACCAGAGCAGGCACAGGTGGCACTCCAGGTTGCACAGCTCTGACTCAAGAGCTCAGCTGAATTTCAGTGTTCTGAATTTCTTTCAGAATCATACAGAGATCACACAGCAACA